TGGGTCTCCCCTGGACATCTTCAGCCCCCACAGAATGGGCCACGCAGGCACATAATTGGGCCCCCGAAGAGCTGCTCGTTGACTTTAGGGGGCATCTACCCAACAAAATGCAGAGCAAAGCAAGGCAGCGGGAGCAGCCGTCTGGGTGGGGGGTGGGCCTGCCAATGCCAGAGGAATTCCCTTTGGCCACTGGAGACTGTGGGAGCTGGGGCTCAAAACTGTGGCCACCACGAAGGCGGTGGGGGCCCTTCCCGGCCGACGGGAGCCCACCTACCTGGGCAGGGGGTCGTGTTGCAGCTCTCCGACTGGGCTCTTGGACCCGGGCAGAGATGCTCATCAGCTGGAGGGTGGGTGGCGCGGCGACGTATTCGGAAGCCCCCACTGCAGGGCTCACGGCAGGGGCCCCAGGGGCCCCAGAGGCAGACACCTTGGGGGCGAGAAGAAGCCCGCTCACTGGCACGCACGCTCACTCATGGCCAAAGGGAAGGGAAGCCGACCCCGACCTCCCTGTCAGGCCGAGCATTGAGCCTCCTTAGCGCGACGGCTCAGCCTCCCCAGGAGCGTTTGGACTGCTCCCTCCCTCCCCTCTGTGGTGTGCTTTCGGGCATGGGGAGGGCAACAGCCTGAGGTCCTGGGGCCAGGTCTGCTCAGGGTCATCCCCATCACTTTTTAAGGTTTGGAGGACCCTTGGGGTCCCTACGGGAGTTATGGGGGGTGTCACACTCGACACCATGGACCTCTCCTTTCAGCTCCCCTCAAGCGGTTCCAGGATGACAAGGGTCCTCCCCTACCACTGCAAGGAAGAAATGACCGGGCAGGGAGATGTTGCCCTGGGGGGCCACCCCATCTGGCCCAGCCTCCGGGTGATGAGGGGCTGAGCAGCTATGTGACTGGGCAGGGCTGTCTCTGCACTGGAGGAAAACGTGGGTGGGGGTGGTTGGAGAGAAGGAAAGAAAGGAGAGCTGGTGTGTCCTTCTGGAGTCCTGACCGGACAGAGGACTCCACTGCCTTCTTTTCCTCCCCCCTCCCAGCCCACTGGTTCTCTGTGGGGGGGGCATCTCTGCCCCCGACTCCCACTCCCCATCCAGCTTACCTTCGCACGCGTGGGGGTCCGGGCACCGCCGCTCCTGCTCCAGCTCCGCCGAGCAGAGACCAGCCTCCCCTGCCCACGGTCTGCCCGTCTGGGGGTCGAGGCAGAGGCGATAGCGATGCTGGACAGAGACCAGAGCCAGCTGGGAGGGAGGGCCTCCCTGGGGCCAGCCGGGGTCGGGCTGAGCCAGGGGGCCGGAGCCCGCCTGCGGGCTCAGCTGCAGCCAGGGCAGGCAAGGGGAGCAGGGGGTCCACTCTGACCAGGCGCTCAGCGGAAGCAGTCCTGGGGGGTGAGAGGGTGGGGTGGGGAGACAAAACCCCAGCTGAGGTCAACAAAGCCCCGAGAGGTGTTTCATCTGGGGCGTAGGTGGGGAACCTGAGGCCGCGGGGATGAATCCTGCCCTGCTCTGAGGCCGTGCCCCTTTCTACACGACGCCCCTGTCGGGCAGTTTCCCTCGCCCTCCTCCCCCGTTCACTCTGGAGTGCAGGCTCTCTGCAACATTGGCTGGACAATTCTGGGCGTGCCACTCCAGGCAAGTCCCGTTTCCAGACTCCGTTCTGCACATCCGTCCTGCAGCCCCTCCGCCCTCCCCACACACTGTGGGGTGGCCACGGGCTCAGGAAAGCCGCCCCCCAACACACCCAAAGCCCCCTTTGCGACTACCTGCTGAGGCTTACCTTGACATCCTTCACTGTGGCACTGGAGAGCCCCCCGATCACATACACTGCAGGGAGGAGAAGGCTCCTGGTTAGCCCCAGGGAAAGGTCCCCTTCCCCTCCCCGGTTCTCCCCCCTCCCTCAGCCGAGAGGGTCCCACTCCAGCTACAGAGGCCGACCCTCGTCCAGCGGCTCAGAGAAACCATGGCCTCGTTCTGAACACACATGAGTTCCCCCCAGGAAATCCCGGTCGGTCAGTGGCTTGGGCAGAGGGCAGACCATGCCCCCCTGCTTCTAAGAAAGATGCCCCCCCCGGCCATGGTCCTCACCCTGATGTGTGGGATGGAAACATCTGCATTGTTTTCTAGAGTTTTTTTGGAGGGGGGGAACTGCTGAGTTTCTCAGAGTGCTGCCCCCCACGGGAAGCACCCCTGCCTGCACCTCCACAGTGCAGTGAAGGAGGCGCAGAGTAAAAGCCATGCCTCGGACTGCTTGGCTTTGCCCAAAAGGATTCTGGCCCGTTTCATCCAGCCTGTTCCGCCACTCTCCTTCTGGAACCTCTTGAAACCTTCAGACACATCATCTGCTGAACCTGGAAAAGTTCCTCTCTCTTTTTTTGAACATTAGGCTCTCAGGCTCATGCTAGCTGGAGGACTTTCTAGGAGCGGGAGTCCCAAGCAGTAATTTTCCCCCACGACCCGCTCATCTGAGCTTCCACAGCCGGGACTGAGATTCTGGAGCTCAAGACCCAGTCCCAAGTCCCGGGATTCTTCCCTCCCCCTGCGCCCATCGTGGGACCCTCGGGGAGTGAACCCGCCTCCCCCTCCCTCAGGTGGGCCCTGCTGGCCTCCGTGGCGACCCACCACTCCTTGCAACCGATCTGAACCGTCTCTCCTGCCGCCAGGTACGTGGGGCCTTCAGAACGGCCGAGGTGAAGGCAGCCACACTTGGAGGGCGAGACACAGGCCCCCTCCTGCTCCACCAGGCCCTTTGGGGGAAGAGGAAAAGACAGGATCCGGTCTGATTCTGATTCTGAACCATCCTGGCGCCATTGAGAAAATCTGGGTGCCTGCCAGATCCATCAGAAGAACCACATTGCAACGTCCACAAAAATGTATGCACTTAAAACTGGGTAGCCTTTTTCTGCAGCCAACTGAAGCGACGGCTTAGCAGGATTTGCTCATCTCCCGAACGGCTCACGAAAGCTCGCCCCCCAAGCTATAGCCAATGACCTCCTCCCACTCCAGAGCCCTTGGTTCCTGGGGAGGGAGCCCCCTGCAGTTCACAGGGTCCTGAAGCGCTACCGCTGTGCAGGGGGCCATGAACACATGACCGGATGGTGGCAACTGGACAGGGCAGACACGCCCCGCGTTTCTACCGGGTGGAAAGCTTCACTCAAGGTACTCAGAGTATGGATTTGTGGGAGACACAGTCCTTCAGCGCCAAGTGCCAAGAGCCAAGCTTTTGGGCGAAGGGTGGCTGGACCCCTCTGGAGCTTGCTCCCCATGTGACTCCTCAGCAAAATAGTGAGGTGACTCCTGAGAGTGTGTGCCGAGTGTGCTTGCCCTCGCCACGATTCGCGGGCCCTTTTGGTTTCTTGCTGCAGCTGGCCCCAGCCTGCGCCTCCCCCCAGGGAAACTTTGCAGGCAGAGCCCCTCTGCTGGGGATGCAGAGGGCAGCCCTGTACGAGTGCCAAATGTCAGCCCGCTCCCTCTGCAGGGAATCCTGCAGCAGAGAGTTCCACAGGCACACCTCTGCTGGAACTGGGGGAGGGAAGGTTCTCACCAGCGGGCAGTAGCAGCCAGGCAGACAACGGGGAAGATCCTGGCACAGCTCTGGGTGCCGGAGGGTGGAGCAGAGGCTGTCGCAAGGGGAGCCACACTCCCGGAACTCAAAGGGCGCCTCGCAGCTCGACTCTGGAAGGAAGGAAGCCGGGAGAGGAAAAGGAAAGAGGTTCGCCCGGGGTCCTCGAGAAGGAGCCACGAGAGAGTGGAGAGTCCTTCCCAGAATGCAAAGGGAGTGGCGGGGTGGGGTGGAGGCTGTCAAGGAGCCCCCCTCCCTCTTATAAGCCCAGCCATCTAGATGCAGAGACAGGCCCTCCCCCTCAAGGAGCTGAAAGCCGATCGCAGATTGAGTGGGGGCAAAGTTTCTTTCTTGGACTCCAGATCTCATCAGCTCCCAGCCAGCCTGGCTGCTGGACAGGGGATTCTGGGAACTGGAATCCAGAGTGAATGTTTTCAAACTCAGCCAAGTGTGGGAGTTTTGGAACAGCTCCTTTCCCCTCCAGATGAGGTCAGGCTGGGGGCAAAGGTCCCGGCTGAGGGCCTGGAGGAAGAGAGGCGGCGCGCCGCACCGGAGCAGTGGGAATAGTCGCACAGGCGGAACTGCCCGTCCAGGCCCAGGCAAGGCTCGCCGTCTGCCCCGGAGCCTTGCTGGTTACGATACCGCTGCTGCACCAGGAAACTGCAGGAACACGTGGTCCAGTGGGTCCAGGAACTCCAGGGGCATTCTGTGGGGTGGGGTGGGGAGGAAGAAGAGGTGTCAGAGGGGACCCGGAGGGACCCAGGCCGGAAGCGTCTCTCCCTTTAACAGCAAATTCAGGCAATGAGTGCCAAGAAGAATGAGAGCAGCCAAACTTCACCTGCATGCAGCGTCCCACCTGGCCACTAGGAGGCGCCATGTCCTCACCTGTGCAAGCTCGGAGGTAGCACGCGGCCACCTCCTGGCGCTGGCTGTGATTGCAAGGCGGCCCTCCTGCTGGCTGCTCAGGAGTCGGGCAGGCGCACGTCCCTGTTCGTGAGGTCAAGCCAGTTCCGCACGATGCCGAACACGGGCCCCAAGGGCTCCAGAGACAGAGCTCATCCCCTGGAGGAGAGGAAGACGAAAAGAGGCAGCAAAAGCACCAGCTGACATTCACTGCATAACGAGAAAGTACCCAACGGGTGCCACTTAAGGAGAACTAGCTCGTTTGGGTGGCTCCTCCCAGAATCCTTTGCTTCTACACCCCCACCCCAAAGAGAGGCTACAAAGAGTTAACCACAAAGACACCTTCGTGGGGGGGGGGTTTCCTCACCTGGGCAAGGACGGAGGCCAGAGCAATTCTGGGCCTGGGTCTCGGGGCCGGCACAGGGCAGCCCTTGGTTGCGCGGAGGTGGGTTGATGCAGGCTCGGGTGCGGATCTGGTGGCCGTGGCCGCAGGAAGCAGTACAGTCAGACCAGGGGGACCAGGGCGTCCAGCCGCCGTGCACTGTCGGGAGAGGAGACGGGAAGAAATCACCCAGCTTCGCAGGTTGGAGCAACACGGCTGACCTCCCTCCAGAGCTCTGCGTCCATCCTGACGTCAACCAAAGGGTTAAACCAGAGAAAGCTGCCGCCCATGACCATCCCTCAGTGTTTGTGAACATCCCGTGACATCCCTGCAGCTCAGCCCCTGATCAGAGCCCCAGGAAATCACAGGTCAAAAAACCCTATTCTATACTATTTGGAAAAAATATGCAAAAACCAGGTGAGGCAGGTCTTATGGATCAGGGAACGGGTCCATCCCGTCTGGCCTTTGGTTTCCAGAGCAAGCAAGACGGGAAACCCCAGCTCCTAAGGAACAGAAATCTTCCCCCAGTTTGATACAAATTTATATAATTTTTGAAGGGAAGGAAGTCTGCCTGTTAACCTTAGACTCCACGGTCAAACATGGCCTTTGGTTCTTAAGCTGCAGTGGAGTCACGCGTGACTACAGAGGATGACGTGGCATTGCGTCCGGAAAGAGGGGAACCTGCTCACCTGCGCACGCGATGTCCAGGCAGAAAATGCCTTCCGGCGTACAGATACTGGGGAAAGAGGCAGAAGGACAGAACACAGGTCAGGGTCCGGCCGGGGTCTCCCTGCCCCGCCTTCTAGCTTCCCGTTTCTATCCAGCCTTTCTCTCCAGCCCCGTAGCTCAGTTCCTCCGGCTGGGTTGCAGGGAAACAGGAGGAGACTTCTTCAGCCCAAGGACCAAATCCCATTTTAGGAAAATTTGGAGGTAGGGTGGGGTGCGGGGGGGGGCTGCATCCCAGTGACACGTATGCCCAGAGGCATCTGGGTGGGAAGAAAAATGCTGGCCTGTTTTAGCTTAAAGTTCTGATTGCTGGTAACCAAACCTCAGGGAAAGCATTCAGAAGGGGGCGAAATTCCGGGTGCAAAAGCTAGCGTTGCCTTTTGCAGTTTCAGAGAGCAAGACAGCCGGACTGCCATGCCCGGCCGAGGGCATTACTGGGGGCAGTGGCCTTGCCAGGCCATCTGTGATCTCTCTCTCTCCGTACCCTCTCCTCTGTGTATCTCCTGCTCTCCTCTCCGGGGTCTCTCGGTGGCAAGGGCCCTTCCTGTCAACGGTCCCTTGGCCCTTTTAAGCTAAGGTGGAAAGTTGGGGGCTGGTGGGGGAAGGGCTTAGCTGACACGCGCTGGGTTTCTTCAATGAACGGAGAGACTTTGACCGTGAAGCGCTTTGTGCAGCTGCCCCGAATACCAAAGAGGTTGAGAAAACAGTGGCCATCAGGACGACGCGTGTCCTGCCGCCGTTCCTGGCTGTTCCCAGGCTACCCCGGGATGCTGGGAATGGGCCCGTGGGACCCCCCTGCCCACCCTGGAGGGGGGGCAGCTGCTCACCATTGCTGGCACTCCCCTAGGAGCCAGGTGGCGCCCAGATCCATCTCTCGGCCGTCGCGCAAACACAGAGGCGGGCAGGGGCCGGGGCTGCAGGGGCGGGTCTCCCGCTGCTCCTTCAGGCACTCCAGAGCCCATGAACCTGAGGTTGGCGTCCTGGAGGAGCCATGGGGGCAAGGGGGGGGACAGAAGAGAAGAGGGTGAGAGCCACCTTTTGGTGGGTGCCCGGGGGGGGGAAGGGAGGGAGAAGGCAGCCTATAAATAAAACAGAACAAAGTAAAGCACAATCAAGGGATATCCACTTCCTTTCAGGTGGGAGGGCATCTCGGAGGCCAGCAAGAACAATCCCAGCAGACCATCAAGAGGGGAGCCTGTGAGAAGCCTTCGCTGCGAAATAACACGGGGGAAGCAAGAGAGCAGAAAGCAGGATCTGACCAGCAGCCCATCTGGCCCAGCATTCGACGCCCGCAGAGGCGAACCAGAGAGACCCAGGGGGGAAGCCCGCCAGCAGGACAGGAGAGCCGTTCCCCTTCTGCTGCTCGTATGTATGAAGAGGGGTTCACTGGCACCCGGCCTCTGACCCCGAAAGCTGCATCACATCCCTGGAACTCATAGCCACTGGGTGACTCTCCTCAAGCGTGCCTTTCTCCGAGCCTTTCTGAAGACGCCCAAAATGGCGACCGCAGTTTTAACTCCTGGGCAGAGGCTGGAAAATCATCCCCCCGGATGCGGCTCCTGGCCTCCACCCGGCGAGCCCGGTCCGTGGCTGTGACAGCCTCCTCTCACGTCACAAAGGAGCTGCCACGTCACACTCACACTCACTTTATTTCACGCTGCCACCAACCATTCCCTCATAAGACGCTTCAGACAAAAGTGTGAAGTATAAAGCTCCCAGAGCCTCCTCACATGTCACAGTGGCCCTGCTGGCTGGGCGTCTCTGGGAGCTGCAGCCCAAGGCCAGGAGAGCTCTCCCAAGCGATGACCGCAGGGCAGCAAAGCCCACACACCCGAGTTCTGGTCTTCACCTTGCGGTGGGGGTGGGGTGGGTCCAGTTCTCCCTTCTTGGCCCTGCCTGGCCCCGGCCCCATCCTCACCTGAAGCGCGTCCGCAGACCGTTTCCACAGGTGAGGCTGCACTCGGACCAGCTGGACCAGAGGCTCCAGGCGCACTCGCTGGGGGCGCAGGTGTGGTTGGTGCAGAGCAGGCGCCCCCCGGTGCAGGTGCAGTTGTTGCACCCGTCGTCCCGGAGGCTGCCGGGGGCCCAGCTGTGGCCCTGGGCGTCCGTGCACTCGCAGTGGGAGGGGGAAACACAGAGCCCGTCCTGTTCCAGGGTCCCTGGGAAAGGAGGAAGGGACAGACAGGGAAGTAGGCAGGTCTCTGAGGGTGGCGAGGAGGAAGGTTTCCACTCCCCCCCACCTGCCTGCAGGCTGAATTTTGGGCTTCCAATCAGTACAGATTTTATAAGCGTCCTTTCCTGGCCTGGGGGTGGGATCATGCTGCAGAGAGTGCTTCTGGGCATGAGCAGAGGCCCTTCCCTTCTCTCTGCTCAGCCACAAAATCCAGATTCCACAGCACAGATGGCAATTAACTGATCTCAGAGTGGAGAGAATGGGGGTGGCTCAGTAGGAAACACTGCAAAGTCCTCTTTTTGGACGACAAGCCCCAGAACAATTCCTGGGGATTCTGGGAGTGGTGGCTCAAAGCTCCAGGATCAAGGGAGTGGGTTATTCACTGCGGCTGGCAGAGGAGGCAGAGACACCCACCCACCTAGCTCGGAGAAGGGTCTCCATTATAGCCAGGAGGACGTTATTCACTCTCCGTGGGGTGTGTGTGTGTGCTGGAGAGCAGCATGACCCCCCCTGCTTTTTGCATCTAATCAGCAGATCTTTGCCATTTTTCCACCTGCAAGTCAACCCCCCGCCCCCCCCCCCCAGGAGAGCTCCCTTCAACACCAAGGGGACCTCGGCCAGTGGTGCTAAGCCTGGCCTCTGCCCTCCAACCAATCAGCAGATCTTTGCTATTTTTCCACCTGCAAGTCAACCCCCCGCTCCCCCCCCAGGAGAGCTCCCTTCAACACCAAGGGGACCTCGGCCAGTGGTGCTAAGCCTGGCCTCTGCCCTCCAACCCTCCAAAGTTCCCAGGGGGGGCCTCCTCCCCCCAGGAGTTGTGACACCCACCCCTCATGGGGGGATGAGATTCCCAGGTTTCACGTGGTTTCTTCCCACTCTGAAAGGCTGGAAGGCCTTTCCTGCCTCGGGCTGGGGCAGGGGAGCCAAGAGGGTGTCTACCTCTCAGCGTCGGCCCTTGGGGCCCCCCAGAAGTCCTTTGCCGTTGGGTCCGGCCCAGGGGCTGAAGGCGGTGACCCGACCATTTGGCTCACCGTTTGGGCATCGACAGCCCAGCTCACAGGCTTCTCCATCCTGGCACATCAGGCCTTCCTGGAGGTCCCAGCAGTGGCTCGGGCACGCGTTGGCACAGTCTGCCAGGTGCATTCCTGGTGGGCAGCCTTCTTCTGCTGGGAGAGAATACTGGCTTAATGCATCCTCGTCCAGGGACTCAGCCAGGGCTGGGGCCGCTGGCGCCCTCCAGAGAGAAGGGCCCGACTCACCGCAGGGCTGGGGGTTGCAGACACGGACTTGGTACTTCTCCCCAGGGCAGAGCTGCCCTCCATTCTTGGGTGGGGGGCTGGTGCACGTCCTGCTGCGAGAGGAACGCCCGCCCCCGCACACGCGGTCACACCACGACCAGGGGCTCCACGTGGACCAGGCGCCATCCACTGCAAGAGGGGCAAAAGCAGGAGGAAGCGCACAGCGCGCGGCTGAGACGGCCTGGCAGCCTCAGGGAGTGGCTTTTTCGGTGCCCCTGCAAGGCTGTTAAATTCCAAGGCCCCTGATCTTACTCCTTTCCTGCACAGTTCTGGGGCAAAAACTTTTGTGTTTTGCACAAAAAGTGGTGAATTTCATTCTGCACAAGACGATCTTTCACTCAGAATAGCAGGCTTGTGTACAAATGCGCCATTTTTGCCCCCCCCAAAAAAGGGTGGGCGTCTGCGTGTTGTTTCCCCTCTTGAGTAGGAATGAAAATCACACAGAAGTTGGCAGGCTCCCCCCCCCGCTCCCCGTGGGCTTTCTTGAGACCCTTCCTTATAGTGGAGGAGATGATGGGCAGATTCTGGTGCCCTCCTGAGAGCAAGC